TACGATTTTAAATCCAAATAATTCTGCAGTTGATTATTTTTCTTTCATAAAAAAATATACCTCATTAAGACCATCAAATATAAATTGTAACAGATTTTTTTTAAAATTCGCAAATGGAAAATATTCTAAACAGCCTGTAGGGATAAATACTTTTGGTAAAATGCCAAGTGTTATAGCAACGTATCTCAACTTGCCCAATCCAACGGCTTTTACAGGTCACTGCTTTAGGAGGTCTTCAGCCACTATGTTGGCAAATTCTGGAGGAGACCTAACGGTCAAAAAACATGGAGGATGGAAATCATCTGCTGTTGTAGAAGGCTACGTAGACAGCACAATAACACAAAAAAACAAAATTTCTAATAAAATTTTGATGGGTGACAGTATGCCATCCACTTCCAAACAAAGCTACAATTTTACCGTTGACAACTCTAATAAAGAATTAGTGGAACCACTTAACAGTGAAACCAGAGTTACACAAAATATTTCAACCTCTTTACTTGAAAAGGCCAAATCCATACCACTCGAAGCTCAAAATAGGGTTACAGAAGTAATATCACAACATTTTTCAAACTCTGTGCTGGAAAAGGCCAAAACCTTAAGTTTTGGTAATTGCAACAATAGCACATTCAATATTAATATTCATAAGAGTTAAAAACCTATTTTTTTAAATATTTCTTCATTTGTTAGTCATTTTGTTCTGTAAGAATTATAAATTTGTAAAGTTCCAATAAATTTATTTTTGTTGCTGTGTACAATTTTTGGAACATTTTACTTTTTTTCACTAGTGCGTAAAGTAAAGTACTTTTTTTCACTAGTGAAAAAAAGTAATTTTTATATTTCTAATATTAGTGGATTATGTGTACGGTAGTAGAAAAAATATTGTATGCCACTCGTGTGTAAAGATACAGAAAATATCCCGAAGTAACAGCTAATTTGAAACACCCTGTATTTGACTTATATATTATACTTTATTTATAATACCTTTTAACATCTTGAGGAAATCTGTAAAATGAATGTGCACCGATATAAGATTTATAACTATAAACAAATCCAGCTTTTTTTTTGTATTTTTCTATAACTCACACTGTCATTAAAGCACAACAAAATCAGAAAATAGTCAACGATATAAATATTGAAGCAAAATAACAGAAACAACAGAATAATAATAATTATAAATTCACGATTCCATGCCGGTCGGTACTGCACTGAAAGTTTGGGTGTAGAATATCGGTGTAGGTGTGCTTGAAGGTCACGAGCCCTCGATGATCACGTGATCGGAGATATCCTTCTGGTTATTATTTATTCTTGTGCTTTCAGTGATTCAAAAAGATGAATGCAGAGCTATTTCTTGGATTATCTTTCGCTAGTATACATATTTCGATTGTATGTAACAATGAGACGTCCTTTAGATTAAAATTATTGTTGCATGAATATATTAATTTTTGTATTTTATGAATTATTGTTCTCTATAGTTACATATCAGGTTTAGTACCAAACACTTTAACTTTAGTTCATCCGCCTTTGTGTTTGTACATAACAATTAGATATCTCGTAGATTTATTCTTGGATGTGTACTATATAGATACATATTTTTGTACCGTTCAATAAATTGTTTTTTCCTTTATACAAGTTTATTTTTTACACAGATATACGTTAATTAAAAAAAAAATTAAACATACAAGAAATTGTAATTCAGTTTCATCAGTAAAATGCCATTTTTTAATATATTTTTTTTTTATTACAAGTTATAGTGTCAATATCATCAAACGTAATATAGATAACTGTTTCCTCTGACTTTCAGTTCATAATTTATTTATTTTTAGGACAGATGAAAATATATCTGCCATCCCAAGATTTTTTAGAAAGCAACTGTTTCAACAAAAAACATCTTTATAATTTTTCAATCTAGTCATTTTGAAAAATAATATCGCCAATTAAAATTACTGTAGTGTGAGCCATTTCATTATTCAGTCATGCTCTAATACTCCAAGTCCCTCTATGTATTATTTGGCCTTTGAGGCTCAACTTGTCCGCTTATTATACATAATTGAACCCCTTAAGTCCAAACCTATGGGACGACTATGGTGGAGGTGCTTTCGATGATGTTCGAGAAAGAACGAGATAATGTTTCTAGTATATTAGAGAGAATATGTAAACTTACTAGAACATTCGCCAATTTTTTAAATTTGTATATAAATATTCGTGGAGGAATCATCAGAGTTAGTTATTATATGGACAGTGAAGATAAATAGTAATTAGTAGATAGACAGTGGTGAATATAAATAGTGAATGATTCAAAGACATTCGAAATATATATAAATTAAAATAGTACTGTTATAAAATAAATAAGTGTTTAAATAAATTATTAATAAATAAACTGTTGTTTTAAAGTAAACAAGCGTAACATTATGTAGTTTAGTAATATTTAAGATTTAAAAAAAAACTATTTTATACAAATATGGTTACTAGTTATTCTAGTAAACTTTTTATCCTATTATTTTTTAGAATTAATGACCTAATACAACATGCTTCTTCTTTCTAATTTTCGCTCATAAAAAATTTAATTAGAGGTTTGGTCTGTCAAATTACAAGCAAAATTAAACATTTTGAAGTCTTATTTAATATAGATAAAATTTAATACGAGTTTGATAGTAATTTTTAGATCTTACAAGTCAAAAATTTTCGAATATAATATATTTTAGATCTTTATTGAATTTCAAATTTCCTATTTTTCACTGATTAATTTATTATTATTCACGAAACAAGTTTGTCCATTGACCTCCAGGCCAGAACCGACCCCCTAACAATGTTTTACCGACCCCTGGGGTAGGTAATCGACCTCTCTGGGGACAAACGCCTTAGAGTCAATTACCCCCAACATCTAGGGTTTGTCCCTAAGCAAAACATACTCTCAAAGGAATCGAAGACGTTTAAATTGAAAAGGGATGGAATTAATTGTATAGAAGCCATAAAGGTTCCTCTGATCATTAAACGACTTTTTGAAATTGGTTTGTGCGCTAAAAGATTCAAATTTCTTAAATAATTTATTGTTCTATATGTGGAAATGTGAAAATTATTATGTTTATATTTTAATAATATTTTTAAAATGTTATATTCCCTGTTTTAATTATGAAAGAAATTAAAAATATTTTTTATAAACAAACTTAATTTGATGCAAGAAAAGTAGGTTAGGTTAGGGAAGCGTTTGGAACATTTTTTAACTGCTTTTACCTAACATATGCCAACTGTTAAAAATCTATTGTCGCCGACAGATGACAGTTGACAGAAGTCTATATTTTGACGGTGTTGCCAGATTTGGTTAGGTTAGATAACTTTTATGTAAGGATAATTAGACAGTTAACATACATTAGACAGTTAGTTAGACATATCTTAGGCTAGATTGATTTTTGACAGTTGACATAGTTGCCCCACATTCGAAGTTTAAAAAGAATTCCAAACGCCTTCCTAACCTACTGTTATTTAAGTAGCCTCTCCAAACTACTTCATAAATTTCTCTGGATGAGTTTATTTAAATTGTAATTTTTAGGGTTTATATTAAATATTATTTTGAAACAGATTCGCATTCTACAAAAGAGAATGGGCAATTTTGTTCCACCCCCAATAGGGGCAAGATATATGCCCAATGATATATATTGGCAAGTAGAACATTTGTTTTTATTATGACTCTCAATTATCTATTATATCATAGTGCATGTGACAAAACAGTTTTTTTAGTTGAAAACTTTAAAAGTTATTTTGCTAGTAGGTTTTGATAAAAATTCTCCCACTTTCCCCTACGCTTGTCGTGGTAATGACTAATCGGATCGGTAGGGTATCTCAAACACTCGCATTTATTTGCGCGAAATTTTGTGGTAACAGACACACTGGCTTTGAATCTTACAGAAGACCAAGTGAATTTATTTGCATGGTTCTCTATGGGACAGTTTAAAATTTTTCAATGTTAATACTTTTTAGATAAAAAAATTGGAATCTGTTTAAATTAGGATGCTCCACTCTTTATATGTTACAAATGGCTTTATATTCGTTCTAATGTGACTGAAATAATAATATTTATGATTGTTGTTACATTCCTCGCTGTGCTTAGTATTGCATCAATTCTTAATTCTTTTATCTGGAGACGTCTCTGTAAGCGGCACTGCCTTGGCCGATAAGAATAGTCCTCCAACTAATAACTACGTCACAGGCATCATTCACTTTCTAATTGGTCAACGTCAAGCATGACACTCAAGTTTGCTTAATGGCTGGGCTCCTTCTTTGCGCCATAGCTTCAGTACCTTTCACAGCGGTGTTACAAAAGGCGACGCTTCGTCAGCCATCATGTAATATAATTTTTACATCACAAAAATGACTTAGGTAACAAATTTCCTAGAGAAATACTTTAAACAGTGTAAAATGTATGTAGTTCCACAGACCTGTGGATCGCACAGGTAATTCGAACATTATTATTTAATACAGTTCATAATTTACAAAGGTCAATTGTATTATTATGTTTATGCATTACCTTGGTCTCAGACCATTGGACCTGGTCCTTTGGAGGGCCTATTTATGGCCATGTAACTAATATTTGGTTAGGGATACACGTGGCAGATAAAATTCTCGACTGCATCATATGATATACCCGGATAATATAATTGTTTTATTTTACTAATAAGTAATAATTACTATTTTTTGCCTGAAATAAGTACTACAATAACAGAATACAAGTACTAGCCTATCGTAAAATTAGATATGAAAAGAAACGTTCTTCATAAAAAGATCTTTCAATTGGTATAACATTTATCTTTATTCCATACATTTTTGCCCATGGTCCTTTAAATATTAGACAATTTTTCTAGGTTAGAATTCTGGTTGGTAATGACAAAAAGTGACATTTTAAGAATATTAATAAATCCGTAAAATGTCAGTCTTTATGACAGTCGCCTAAAAATAGTTATTTGTGTACCAACGAATTTAAATTATATGAACAAAGAAAAACTCACCTATGTTTCGGCCTTGGCGAATCGGTCTCCTCAGGAGAAGAATTAACATTCCTCTCAGCTCTCCTCTTCGGCGACGTCTTATCAACCTTCTGCTTATCGACTTCCAACTTTTTCTTGAAACTTTTCTTGTGCTCCCTAGTGCTAGTAGGATTGAAACAACTATCGCTCATCACCTCAATCTCATCCAAATTCTGCGCGGCCTGCTTGTAACTGTTCCTCCTTCTGGCGTCTATCCTCAACGCTTCAATCTGCTCCTGCATAAGAGTCTCTACAGTTTTCATCTCATGTCTGTGAACGACGGTGTCGAAATGAAATTTTGATTCTTCTAGTGTAAGCCTCGGCGTCATGTCGTCAGAGTTTTTGCTATCGCTTATTTCGAATGTAAACATCATTTGATTCTTGGCAGTCGGTGGAGTTTGTTCTTTAGCTGTAGCCGGAGTTTTCGGACTAAGAGGAGCTGGTTGTAGTATGGGATTGGTTAGTCTGGAGTTTTCTAGAACGTTGTCGGAAGTAAATAGATCCATTGGTTCTGGATAGTCCAAGCTTTCGTCTGTACCGTCTGTTGCTGTCACTGTTGTTACTATGGTGTTTGAACTTTCCGTGCTGGTGTTGATGGTTGTTTCTGAAGCAGTACTGCTACCCATCACTATTACTTTTGGTACTACTGGCTGGGTCTGCAATAATAAAAAAAATATTTTAACATATATAGATAGTCTTAAGAAAAGAAAGTTAGACCAAGGTGTGATATAAATGAAACATTCTTAAAATAAATACAATTTTAGTATCACTATATTTAGTTGTATGAGTAACTGTTTAAATGAAGGTAAAGGAAGATATCTTAAGATAGAATGTCACTTTTTTAAACATACTACAACAGCATTTGGAGATTTACTTTGCAGAGGTGTACAAAATTCTAACTCCAATTAGATACAGACTATTTTTCATTTAATAGAAGCTAAATTAGTTGGACATTTCTGATAGTTTGTTGTAAATATTTGTTTTTATTTCGTGCATCATTTTCTAACGACTTCTAGTAGATTTTTTAATACCATGAGCAATTTAGTACCATATTTGTTGAATCACTATTAATAATTTTATTGTCATTTATTATGAATTTAAATCATGTCAAAACAGCTATAACTGTAATTCTTCATGGGCAAAGGTAACAAATATATTAAATGGTTTTAGATAGGAACTATCTCTGATTAATACAATTGAGAAATCTCATTCATCAAATCTGTTCAAATCAGCATCTGATCAAAATGTGACTTAGGTTACTTGCAGAGGCGGCTCGTGATCTATTCTACGAGGAGGCTACGGAGGCTACTTTTGAAAGGCACATATACTTAATACAAATATTTGCTTCTGTTAGAATACAAGAAGCAAAAATATTTCATTGTATACCAATAGAAATATATTTTTGAATAAAGTATATAGGGTGAGTCAGCCTCCTCGTAGACTAGGCCACGAGCCGCCTCTGGTTACTTGGCTCCAGGCTGAATTTTCTGAGGGGACCATGCTAACATATTTGATTTGATGTTGGATACGAATTTTTTTTATTAAATAGGAGTTGTAGGTATGTTTTAGTTAGATTTTTAAAATGTATCTTCTCTCTATAAAAAGGAAGATGACAGTCTTACGAGGGTTTACAGACTCATATATGCTTTAGCACTAAGTGCTGCTAATACTCCATAATATTGGAAATAAAACAGATATGTATATTACAGCAGAATGAACTTCAGTTTGCGAATATCCTATACAAGCCATCACAAGGTTATAGAAGAACTGATTTTTTTTACTCTTAACATACTTTGAATATAATTTAAACGTACTTTCAATATACTTTTTAAACTTTTAACATACTTTCAACTTACTTTCAAAATACTTTCAACATAATTTCAACATACATTCAACATACTTTAAATATAATTTTAACATATTTTTAACATACTTTTAACATAAGTACTTTTAAAATACTTTCAACATACTTTTAAAATATTTTTAAAATACTTTTAAAATATTTTTAAAATACTTTTAAAATATTTTTAAAATACTTTTAAAATATTTTTAAAATACTTTAAACATACTTTTAACATATTTTAAATTGCTTCTAACATGCTTTTAACATACTTTTAACATACTTTTAACATACTTTTAACATACTTTTAACATACTTTTAACATACTTTTAACATACTTTTAACATACTTTTAACATAATTTTAAAAATACTTTTAAAAATACATTTAACACCCTTTTAACATACTTTCAACATCTTTTCAACATACTTTTAAAATATAACATATTTTTAACATACTTTTAACATACATACTTTTAACATATTTTTAACATACTTTTAACATACTTTTAACATACTTTTAACATACTTTTAACATACTTTTAACATAATTTTAACATACTTTTAACATACTTTTAACATACTTTTAACATACTTTTAACATACTTTTAACATACTTTTAACATACTTTTAACATACTTTTAACATACTTTTAACATACTTTTAACATACTTTTAACATACTTTTAACATACTTTTAACATACTTTTAACATACTTTTAACATACTTTTAACATACTTTTAACATACTTTTAACATACTTTTAACATACTTTTAACATACTTTTAACATACTTTTAACATACTTTTAACATACTTTTAACATACTTTTAACATACTTTTAACATACTTTTAACATACTTTTAACATACTTTTAACATACTTTTAACATACTTTAAATATAATTTTAACATATTTTTAACATACTTTTGACATAAGTACTTTTAAAATACTTTCAACATACTTTTAAAATATTTTTAAAATACTTTTAAAATATTTTTAAAGTACTTTTAAAATATTTTTAAAATACTTTTAAAATATTTTTAAAATACTTTAAACATACTTTTAACATATTTTAAATTGCTTCTAACATGCTTTTAACATACTTTTAACATACTTTTAACATACTTTTAACATACTTTTAACATACTTTTAACATACTTTTAACATACTTTTAACATACTTTTAACATACTTTTAACATAATTTTAAAAATACTTTTAAAAATACATTTAACACCCTTTTAACATACTTTCAACATCTTTTCAACATACTTTTAAAATATAACATATTTTTAACATACTTTTAACATACATACTTTTAACATATTTTTAACATACTTTTAACATACTTTTAACATACTTTTAACATACTTTTAACATACTTTTAACATACTTTTAACATACTTTTAACATACTTTTAACATAATTTTAACATACTTTTAACATACTTTTAACATACTTTTAACATACTTTTAACATACTTTTAACATACTTTTAACATACTTTTAACATACTTTTAACATACTTTTAACATACTTTTAACATACTTTTAACATACTTTTAACATACTTTTAACATACTTTTAACATACTTTTAACATACTTTTAACATACTTTTAACATACTTTTAACATACTTTTAACATACTTTTAACATACTTTTAACATACTTTTAACATACTTTTAACATACTTTTAACATACTTTTAACATACTTTTAACATACTTTTAACATACTTTTAACATACTTTTAACATACTTTTAACATACTTTTAACATACTTTTAACATACTTTTAACATACTTTTAACATACTTTTAACATACTTTTAACATACTTTTAACATACTTTTAACATACTTTTAACATACTTTTAGCATAATTTTAAAAATACTTTTAAAAATACATTTAACACCCTTTTAATATACTTTCAACATCTTTTCAACATACTTTTAAAATATAACATATTTTTAACATACTTTTAACATACATACTTTTAACATATTTTTAACATACTTTTAACATACTTTTAACATACTTTTAACATACTTTTAACATACTTTTAACATACTTTTAACATACTTTTAACATACTTTTAACATACTTTTAACATACTTTTAACATACTTTTAACATACTTTTAACATACTTTTAACATACTTTTAACATACTTTTAACATACTTTTAACATACTTTTAACATACTTTTAACATACTTTTAACATACTTTTAACATACTTTTAACATACTTTTAACATACTTTTAACATACTTTTAACATACTTTTAACATACTTTTAACATACTTTTAACATACTTTTAACATACTTTTAACATACTTTTAACATACTTTTAACATACTTTTAACATACTTTTAACATACTTTTAACATACTTTTAACATACTTTTAACATACTTTTAACATACTTTTAACATACTTTTAACATACTTTTAACATACTTTTAACATACTTTTAACATACTTTTAACATACTTTTAACATACTTTTAACATACTTTTAACATACTTTTAACATACTTTTAACATACTTTTAACATACTTTTTACATACTTTTTACATACTTTTAACATACTTTTAACATACTTTTAACACACTTTTAACATACTTTTAACATACTTTTAACATACTTTTAACATACTTTTAACATACTTTTAACATACTTTTAACATACTTTTAACATACTCTAAACATACTTTTAACATACTTTTAAATACTTTTAACATACTTTTAACATACATTCATCGTACTTTTTTTTACAGACCTGATAATGGTCACTGACCTAAATTAGTAGCTTAATCCCTGTTTATAATAAAAAATTTGTTTTTGAGACAGCGTTTTTATTTCCTTTTAAAATATAATGCTCTCGAGAGGAACCTTGTAGTAATTGTGTCCGTTTGTTTTACATTGATTTTAAGTACCTGTTGCTTGGTGGTAGAGTTTTTGGTAGCGTTTCTTCCCGTTTTGAAATGGAAGCGCCTCAGGGCTGAGGTGGCAGTGGTGATGAGGTCGTCGGGAGGTCGGGGAGACTTGGGAGGGCCCGACTGCGAGTTCACGGTCATCCTGGGGCGCGGGCTGGAGGGTGCAGAAGGGCAGTGACTGTTCGATGGTGCTGATGATGATGATGATAAGGGTTCGCTGGCGAAGCGCGACTGATGATGACAGTATTGATGCTGGAAAGAAAACAAGCGCAAGGTCAGTGACGTGATAGAAAACATTGTATGTTAATATTTAAATGCGTCCCAGTCCCATAAGGAAAAATGATTAGGTATGATATTATAATATGGATTATTAATTATAATAATATTTAATTAACAAATAATACAAATTACAAAGTAATACTAATACCAATTGCAAATAAATAATAATATAGTCTTTAATCTTGTCGTTCTATTGTAGGTTTAAGAGTAAATTGTAAAACTGTTGTATCTATTATTAACAAAGGGCATAACTTTGTTATTAATATTGTTACAAGATTTAATAAAAATGTTTTAATTATAAGTTTTTATGGTTTCTGTACTATTTATTGTAGATATGTAACAAAATTCATTTAAAATATTAGGATAGTCGTTATAATAATTATTCTTTCTTTTGTCTTAAAATAGAACAGTATATCATTTTCAAATTAAACTTAAAAACATGCTATAATAAATTATATAAAATTATTTTTGAACAAAATTGCTACATTTTATGAAATAAAAGTTGTAATACAACTACAAATTTTCCGATTACTCAATTTATTAATTTAATAGTCACATTCAAAATAATAAATAAACTCGAAAATAGTTCCGGTTATTTTTAAATACCTTCATCTATGTTTATATCATTATATAAATAGTTTTTACACTAACTAACCTATACCTAGATCTTACTTAATCACAAATTTAAAAATAAATACAAAAACCCAACAACACCAACATAATTTTCAATAAAAACGAATTTTAGCAAAATGACGTTTCCTAGAAAATTCACAGCGACGTCAATGGATTTTCTAATGAAAATGAGCTCAGGTGCTTTATAATAAATAAATATTTTTAACAGTCTTCAAAAAAGGACGGGGTTCTCAATTCGTCGGTATATTTTTTTATGTATGTTCAGCGATAATTCCTTAACGCAATGTCCGATTTTAATGATTCTTTTTTTGTTAGAAAGGGAGTACTCCAGGGGTAGTCCCATATACATTTGGTCAAAATCTAATAATTGAGTCCATAAGGAAATCCTCAAACTCTTAATTTTTTATGTATGTTTAGCGATAATTCTTTACTACCTTATCCCATTTCTATGATTCTATTTTTGTTAGTAAGGGGGTATCTCAGGGGTAGTCCCATATAAATCTGGTTAAGATGTGGTGATGGCACCTGTACGATTCTAAAGTCGGTTTTTTAAAATTGCTTTTAATACTTGTTAAATTTATGTTAATATAGAGAGGGTTTAGAATCTGTATAAACTTTATTGTCACTTTTTTCCTAAGACTTGCAAGAAAAGTTATCAATATCAAAATTATTTTGAAGTATATAGGGTACGTCATTATATGGTGGTAGCATAAAGTTCGGTTTTATTAAGTTAGATATCTATAATTTATTCGCCTTTGAAATAGAGATGATTGTGAGCATTTCGAAACAATGGGGTTGTGAAGTACCACTCTGCAATCTAATATTTTATTTAAATTTGGTTAAAAAGTTAGTTAAACAAAAATAAAAGTTTGTTGTCAGTAGAGTTGGTACTGACATGTAATTTTATACGTCTATAATAAAAAATAAATAGTATATTACATTACAAGCGTGGAAAGTGACATTTTTCACACGAGTGCGATAATCATGCAATTGTGAAAAACCACATTCACAAAAGTGATGTACAATATTTTTCCTACACAAAATAATGTTATCAAAAAAACTGTAAAATTGGAAAATCTGGCTATAAACGTTTCATCAAGATGTGACAGGTCCAGGCGCGAATACAAGGGGGGGTAATAGGGTAATAGAGTAATTACCCCCCCCCCGAGCTGCTCGAAGAAATTCAGGAATTTATTGAATTGTAATCTAAAAACAAAGAGATTTTACGAGAAAGCTAGAAAAACAAGATGACGGTGACGAATGAAGAATAGAGAACTACATAGGTGTAATAGGTATATGGTAGAGGAGCGATGAACGACCACTAGAATTTAATCGGTCTACAGTCAGTCGTACTATGACTGTGTTCAGATAAAGTAATTGCAGAGAATTTAATTCAACACATTTTAAAATTATTAAATAAACATCGATGCGATGAAAATGTCTACAAAGAAATCTTTAAAGAAATATAAGACTTATATGAAGAACTTGATATACACCTAACAGTTCTACGGTAAGCTAGTAGGCAAACTTTAAGGGCAAACATAAAAAATATTAACCCCTGAAGAATATTTTAAAATATCTATTTATATTCCATTATTAAATAATATTATCGAAGACATTAATGATAAATTCAGCAAAGATATTTTAAATGTGTTCGGTTATAACACCATTTTCCCCCTAAATTTGATTGGCAAGACATCACAGGATTTTAAGTAAACAAATAATTCTTTGATAAAATTATCTACTCCACCCCGAACAATCTTCCCAGATCCGCGCCTGGGCAGGTCTTAGATACGTTTTTTTTTTATATATCCTTACTGAATAATTTTTAAAGTGTTTTACATATATTTTTTGTATATTTGTATCCTTGTTTATTGATATGGAAAACAAGAACACGCTAAACGTAAACGATCAGATTGGGGATAGTGTAGTGATTTTGACAGCTGACATATGCTATTCGAAGTGATTATATTTGAAAAAAAGCACGATGAAGAAAAATAAAGACGATAGTTTACAAGAGATTGAAAATACATCAAAATACTTTAATGATGGAACTAGTGAAAACCAAAGAATGTAGAAAAACCTACTATTTTGCTAATATTAAAATTTTAAAACTATGGAGAAATTGAGAAGGCTTGGTATGTATTTTCTTTTTTCTACGCCCATGTCAGTAAACGTCAACATTTCTTGTAAATTACATTTAACAATAACATGCACGTAATGACATCTCATAACATATACGTGCGTTTTAATAAAAAAACTTAATTTCTTATTTTAATTGAAGAGGACGTTTATGAATACAAGTAAATTGAATTTCTATCTTCTTTAAAAAAATCAGAAGAAGATTTAAAAGAATTGGAAATAAAGACAAGAGGTCTGTCAACAAATCAATTATGGCTGCAGGAAAGAATTAATAGGCTGACAACATCACATTTTGGGGAAATATGAAAAATTAAAACAAACACACCATGTACAAATAAAGTAAAAAATCTACTTTAGTCTACCTTTGTAGGTAATAGTAATACCAAATACAGTTTAGATCATGAGTCGTTTGCAATTACACAATTTGAATTAGAATTTAATGTAAATGTAAGTTCTCCCTTCGTATCCTAGAAACGGTTTTAAGCATTTTCTAATAACATCTTTAGTTCATCAGTTCATTGTACATTTTTTAATTGTTACCTGGTAATTAAAATTTTAGTTGAAGACATGCGGCTTGTTTGTAAATGAAAATATGCTAGCTTTAGGAGCTAGTCCAGATGTATTCAATGGTGAAGTTATAGAAATTAAATGCCCGAAAACTGCAACAAAACTTCATCCTCTGGAAGCCATCAAAAAAAAGTTATAAATTTTTGTACGGTTGATGACAATAATGTGATAAAATTAAACAAAAAACACATAATTACTTCTACCAAGTCCAGAGTCTGTTACAATATAACAAAGCGGAGATTTTGTTATTTTGTGGTATGGACACCATTGGGAATGGCGGTAGAAAAGATATGCGGTGTATTTGTCTAATAAATATATTAAATTTTAAATGCTATGTTTATTACAGATTTCAAGAAATGAAACATTTTGGGAAGAAAGAATGGTAAAAAAACGTGTGTATATTGCCAAAAATTCTCGATGGATGTTATCCACGGAAAATGGAAATTAGAAACCCAACTCGAAATTTCTAATAAAATAATTGTATTTTTTAGTAATTATTAATAAACATATTTTAAAAAACTCATTTTACTTGAATTGTTTTTTGTATAGGTACCTATTTGCAGTTTTTAAATTTTATTTAATTATAGTGAATTCCATTTAAAAAAAATATACACTACGTAAGAAAATGTTAAGGTATGCACTTTGAGGTGTCCTGTAATTTTTATTTTTTATTGTTTTGATCTTTGTCGTATTGTTTGGACAGCCAGTTTTAGTTCAAATTAATGTTCGTTATTTTATGCAGATTTTTAAATCATTATAGAAACTCCTAATAACATTGTAATTTTCACCATAATCATCGGCGTATTACTAGTATATAAAACTTTCGTATTAATTATTAATCAGTCACATGTTTGAAATAGTGCCCAGCACTTTTTTGTCATAAAGATTTTCAGAAATATTATTTTTAGGATTTTATGATGTTATAATTATTAAGTTAATAATTTAATAAATAAGAAGTACACTTTTTAAAAAATGAATGTACCAGAAAAATTAGGTAACTTAAATTAAATACTAATTTAACGTAAAATGTCAAATATAATCTTGACACAAAAATTCCACTTTTTAATTTCGCCTAGACATTCCCTGGAGGATAAAACTTTATTTATTTTTACTTTCCTATCTGTATACAGATATAAGGAAAGTATAGGAATCATGATTTTTTTCGACCTCGAGTTTTCGACGGATTTTTACGTTTTGAGGTCCCCTGAATCCGTTTTGACTATTTTCGCGATGATGTCTGTGTGTGTGTGTGTGTGTCTGTATAACGCATAACTCATGAACCGATACACAGAAAAACACCAAATTTTAAACTTAGGCGTTGTTTCAGCGTCTAATGAGCTGATTAGATTTTGGGCAGAGTCGGAACATTTGGGGGGGTACTTTATAGGTGGTCATTTTTATATTTTATGGAATATATCTGTTATTTACGTTTGGAGAAGAAAATTCTTTAAATAAAAGTTACTTCTAATATTATTATCTATAATTTTTGTTCTATACAAAATTTTCCTAAAATGGTCCGTATTCGAGAAATTTGACAAAATGTAAAAAAAAATATTTTTTTATAAAAATTGTTTAAATAAAAGTTGTTTGTAATATAATTCTCTATAATTTTTATTCTCTACATAATTTCTCTAAAATGGACCGTATTCGAGATATTTGAGAAAATGTGTAAATTT